AAAGACATATCTTTTCGTTTTCTTAATGCTTTCATTGACTGAATCTCCCATTTATTTTTTCCCTTGGAGAGCTTAATGTTGGATCATGATGCTTTTAAAAGTCACAGTGGCAGGAAATAGACACCCATACTCTATGTTAGACTCACTTGAGTCCACAGATAAACACAAAGGGCATCTTGCTGACCATTGTTTTTGTGTTTCACAAATTATTCCTCTTCCATCCATTTGCTTCTGACCCCAAAGCACCCAGAAAACCAAACAGCCTTGCAAATAGTACTGACACTAATGTACCTCATTCCAGTCTGATTTCTTGCCTGTTTTCTGCCTTTCTAAAATTGTTCAGTTGATATTTTGCTAGAGGTGCAGGCATTGTCTCCCCGTCTGTGTGGTCTTTTAAGCAAACTGGCCCCCGATGGATTCCATGGCCCTGCTGGAGGGCATGCCTGGGCAGCCTTGTATGTACACATTGACTCCGCCCATCTTCCCAAGTGTTACTTGCCTAGAGGTGAATCTGAATCTAAGCACAGACAATTTGATTATCTTCTGATTTTGCTGTTGTCCCCTGGACAGATCAAATTAATCATGAAGCATTGCTGGGTAGTGGTTAAGAACAAGGGTCCGGCTACATTGCTATCCATTACCTAATTGTGTGATCTTGGGTAAGTTACTTATCGTCTGTGTGCCTGAATTTTCTCATCTATAAAATGAGATCCAAACATTTTCAAAACTAAAACATCTTTCAAAACTATTAGGCAGCAAAACCTAACCCACCTGAACTCTTTCAGTGACAATGACGTGACAGGAAGTTATTTTTGTCTGTCTCTTGCTTTGAGTATTCACATGTTTTCCTGTAGAAATATAATATTCATGGTTGTGGAATCTAGCCTCAAGATTTTTGGAAAGAAATGGACAAGTCATATCTATCTCAGTGTTTTTGAGTATTAAATGAATTGCTGTAAAAGTGATTAGAACAGTGCTTTGTCCATTGTAAACCCTCAATATGTGTTAGCTCTGATTTTTACCTTGTTGACATAGGTTTCAGTGCCTTGCAAGGAGCATTTTCACTAAGACAAACACATACTAAGTGCTAGACCTGTCTTGAGCCTTGGGACCTGGTAGGTATAATTCCTCTTTTTATGTAGCTAACAATCTCCATTAACGACAGAGGAAATTAAAATAAAGTGAGATAATTATTAATAGTGGAAGAATTGGGCATTAAGGGATCATAAGGTATCTAGTGATAGGCAAAGGTCTCCCTGAAGAAGTGATGTTCGAGGTAAAACATGGAAGTTCACCAGGTGAACACAGGCAATGGAGAGTCTATATGAAGACTTAGAGGAGAGATGAAGGGTTTTGGCTCTTGATCCCTTGGTTTTTATTCTCTAATGGTTTCCAAATTAGAGGTCTCTCTAAACCACTCTTTTCTCCAGGACCAGAGCTTGAAATTGAAAGGCAAAGGAAGCAAAAGAGAATGTTTCTTTCCAGTAGGCACTCTGGCAAAGAAGGAACAAATTTGTGGGTTGCCCAGACCATGCTAGTCCCACAATCAGGAAAATCACTCCTCAGGCAGTGATGTTTGCTGGCATGCAAGAGGCCTGAAGATCTATCCATCTCCATGTTGGAGGAAACGTTAGGAGTGGAGCAGCTGCATTCCCCACCCCTAACTCTCTGACCACTTTCTGAAGTTGCTGCTTTTAGCCATGTGTTTTGGCTTCCCGGGTGGTTCAGTGGTAAAAAATCCACCTGCCAATGCAGGAGACGTGGGTTTGATCCCTGGGTCAGGAAGATCCCCTGGAGAAGGAAATGGCAACCCGTTCCAGTATTCTTGCCTGGGAAGTCCCATGGACCGAGGAGCCTGGTGGGCTACAGTCCATGGGGTCACAAAAGAATTGAAGATGGCTTATTAACTAAAACAACAAACAATAACAGCAAGCCTAGTATATTAGGCCATCATGCTTTAAAATTCCATGAAAATTAAGAATAAAACATAAAGAATAGTGGCCAAGAGAGTCTCCTCTAAGTGATGCACTAGTGCAGTACTTGGCAGGGAGCGAGCAGGCTGTACGTGCTCTTCCCCCTCCTCTTTGGCTCTTAGGCCTCATATGCGTCTCACTGTGCACATGTTCAGAAAGAAATGAATCATCTCAAATGCTGTGTCACTGTGTGTGCATGGGTGCCTAGCCGCTTCAGCCGTGTCCAACTCTCTGTGCCTCCATAGACCATAGCCTGCCAGGCTCCTCTGTCCATGGAATTTTCTTGGAGTGGGTTACTTTTTCCTGCTCTATCGGATCTCTACCCAGGGATAACACTTGCATTTCCTATCATTTCCTATGTCTCCTGCATTGCAGGCAGATTCTTTTACCACTGAGCTAGTGGGGAAGCCCTATGTTGCTTTAAAGTTGAATAATTAATAATAGAATACAAAATGAAGATAGTTAACATTTTTTAACACTTTACTTTCATTTATTATATAGAACTCATATTTATTCTTAAAATAAATTTATGGGTTATCTTTGCTACTTTTAAAAATTCTTCCTGCATTATGACTTTTGGGTCATTATTACTCACTAATACATAGAAAGGAGGAAGAAAAATTGAGAAGAGAATTGATTAAAATTCACCATTTAATGCTAGTGTTGATTCTTGTATCACATCAGTCATAAGTCCTGTTTTCCACGTTAAAAATATAAGCGTTTAAACTATTAGCTCAACTGCAAAGAAAAAAAAAGGTATGAATTAATGTCTGATGTGCATATTTTATCAGTATTATTGTGAATAATTCATATTAAAAATTTAAAATCCCTCTTCATAATTAAGGTTTCATTATCTGTAATAACAAGGTTTTCTGGGACAATTTTTTTCGCAAGCTACTTTATTACAGATGGTAGTATCTTTCCTCATTCTCCTCCCCTTCAACCCACACACCCCTGATTCCTTTTTGGTTTATATACTGTTCCCACTTAACAGTGAAAGAAGCTGGAGCAGGAAGGGATGACATCGTGGTGCTTACACAATTCATTTGGAGAAGCTGTAGTTGATATTCTTCTATAAATAAAATGTTATTTGGAGATATTTTTTCCTAAATTGATTTTTAAACACATGTTTATTCTAAATTTACCTTCATCAGAGAGAACTAATATCACTTCTTTAAATATGGCTGTTTTAAAGAGAAACAAATTAAATTCTTTTATCTGCTTCCAGTTCTATTATATATTTGTGCCTATGGAGAAAAATCATATCTTCTATCAGCCTTTATGTTTGAAAGTTGTTCTTTTTTCATCTTTTACTGTCATATTTACAGTCAGTTCCTTATATTAGATGAATAAAATAAGAAATGAAAATCTACTTTGGTGAATTGAAATTAGGATACTATATTTGTGATATTTAATTCTTAAGAAAACATTTCATTGGAAATTTGTGAACTGCAAAAATATTAAAAATGTCGAACTAGACAAAGTAGCTTTCTGGGATTTATACATTTTTTAGAATATCTAGGATTTTAGTTGCCCAGAATTAGACTAATCCCAGCCATTGTTTTGTGATACCCTCTCATTACTGGTCCATATACTGGCCTGCTTTTATTAAATAGTGTTCTTAAGTTACTGTACCATTTGTGAACCCAACACCCAAATCAAGGATTTTGGCAATAACCTGTTATCTTATGACTCCCTTCCCATCCCCCTGGCCCTTCATGTCTCAGGTAGCCATTTTCTGGAATTCAGTATTCCTCAGTCCCTTGTTTTGTTTTTTTAATATGATCTTATTATATCTATGTGTACTCCTCTTAAGCATTTTTAAGTATTTTACTTGTATAAAAATTTCACCTTGCATGTATTGACTGGTATGTGTTTTTTAAAAACTTAACCATTAATAATTAAGATGCTCTGTATTGTGTGCCTATTTATTTCATTCAACTGCTGTATAAAAGTCTAAGGGAATGAGCCTATGCCTATTTATTTATTCACTTTCTCACTGATGTAGGGTTAGGTTTTCTTCAGGTGTCTACAATTGTGACCAGTTGTTTGAACATTCTTGTACATGCACTTGCTTTTAACCTATGAGAGATTTTCTCTTAGGAATAAACTTGCTGGGTCATAGGATATGTATTTTCAACTTTAGCAGTTAATGCCCAGCTAATATTTTCCAGTTTGTACTCCCACCAGTTTTGAGATACTATAGATCCATATTTCTCCAATACTTGGTATTGTCAGACTTTGAATTTTTGTCAACTAAATGGATAGAAAATGATATCTAATTATAGTCTCAATTTTTATTCATTATGTTTATTGGGCATATTTTCTTCTTTTGTGAATTATGTATTTTTGTCCATTTTTTTCTGTTAATTTGTTGGTGTGTATATTAACAATTGGTTAGGCATTCATTATACATTACAGATACTATTATTTGGTTAGATGTATATGTTTTGAATGTATTTTCCCAGCCTGTAACTTGATCTTTTATTTCCTTTAAGGTATCTTTTGATGGCCAGAGTTCTTAATTTTAGTATAAGCAAAATCTATTAATATTTTATATTCTATACTTTTTTGTTATTTAAGTAATCTTTTTCTAACCCATGATAAAAGATATTCATTAGTACTTTCCACTAAGATATTTAATGGCTTATTTTTTAAACTTAAAGCCTTAATCACTGTAAAGTTGATTTTTGTGGAATGAGTAAAGTAATGATTTCACCTTCAGCTATTTTTTCATGAATATTGCTATTTAAAAAAAAATCTGTTTATTGATTTACTTTAAATTTAACTTAAATTTAATTTTTAAATTTAATGTCTTCTTATCCTAATCGTCAGACTTGCCACTTATGTCATATACCAAAGTTTCATAAATACTGAATCTATTTCTGGACTTTTCATTCTGTACTGTCTTTTAGTGAATGAATGAGTCAGTATGTGTGTGTATAGTCATATTTGAATTAAATATATTCATCTTTGAATTTTAGACATATACACCTAGATTTTTAAATATTTTTGTTTTTGCACTAGGTTTTGGACATAGTGAAAACAAGTATCCGTGCAGTTCTTCCACGTATCTGGAAGGTACCTGATGTTGAGGAAGTGAATTTGTATAGAATTTTCAACCGAGTTTTTAATCGCTTACTCTGGAGTCATGGCCAAGGTCTGTGGAACTGTTTTTGTGATTCAGGGTAAGTTTTAAGTTATTTTCTATTAATGTCATTTTTTTACATCTTTTACTATTTAATTATAAAGATAACCCATTAAAATGGCTGAATTTCTTTACTCTCTTAAAATGTGGTTTTGTAACTGCATATAAGTTTCAGTGCTTAACTATAATTTATAATATTTAAGCTGATGTAGATGAGATGATGGCTGTGAACACAATAGCACCTAACTAATTTGAATTCAATGGAGTGAAAGTATTCCTAATGAAGAAACTCAATTACATCAGTATCCTTATGGTTCTGCTGTTTCCTTTATGTAACCATCTTCCAAAATCATGGCTATACTTCTGCTCCTTTCCAGACTTTCAGTCCTGTCAAAGCTGTTGTGACTCACTGTCATTTTGTCTTCAAGGTATCTAAAGCCAAGCATTCCATCAGTTCAGTTCAGTTCAGTTCAGTCGCTCAGTTGTGTCTGACTCTTTGTGACTCCATGAATCGCAGCACACCAGGCCCCCATGTCCATCACCAACTCCTGGAGTTTACTCAAACTCATGCCCATCGAGTTGGTGATGCCATCCAGCCATCTCATCTTCTGTCATCCCCTTCTCCTCCTGCCCCCAATCCCTCCCAGCATCAGGGTCTTTTCCAATGAGTCAACTCTTCACATGAAGTGGCCAAAGTACTGGAGTTTCAGCTTCAGCATCAGTCCTTCCAATGAACACAAACAGGACTGATCTCCTTTAGGATGGATTGGTTGGATCTCCTTGCAGTCTAATGAACTCTCAAGAGTCTTCTCCAACATCACAGTTCAAAAGCATCAATTCTTCGGCACTCAGCTTTCTTCACAGTCCAACTCCCCCATCCATACATGACCACTGGGAAAACCATAGCCTTGACTAGATGGGCCTTTGTTGACAAAGTAATGTCTCTGCTTTTCAATATGCTATCTAAGTTGGTCATAACTTTCCTTCCAAGGAGTAAGTGTCTTTTAATTTCATGGCTGCAATCACCATCTGCAGTAATTTTGGAGCCCCAAAAAATAAAGTCTGACACTGCTTCAACTGTTTCCCCATCTATTTGCCATGAAGTGATGGGACCAGATGCCATGATCTTAGTTTTCTGAAAGTTGAGCTTTAAGCCAACTTTTTCACTCTCCTCTCTCACTTTCATCAAGAGGCTTTTTAGTTCCTCTTCATTTTCTGACATAAGGGTGGTGTCGTCTGCATATCTGAGGTTATTCCATACTTCCCTTTTATTTGGAAATGGCTTCCCTTCTGGACTTCCCAAAATCCCACTGTTCTTCCAGTCATACAGGTTTGGTATCTCAGGTGCATCCGTGTCCTTTTTCTCCTTCATTGTTTTTTCAGCCATGGGCTAAATCTTGTTAGTTTTTCTATGACATCCCCACTGTAGCTACTGTGGTTTATTTTTCGTTTTTCTTAACAGTTCTCAATTATTTAATTCAAGATTGTTCTTCATTGTTCCTAACAATTATCTCGTGTTTACTTGATAATTTAAATACTTTTGGAGATACAATGCTGAATTTGATACAGCCCCTGTCCTCAAGAGGCTTCCCGGGGTAGCTCAAATGGTAAAGAATCTGCCAGCAATGCGGGAGGTCTGGGTTCGATCCCTGGGTCGGGAAGATCCCCTGGAGAAGGAAATGGCAACCTACTCCAGTATTCATGCCTGGAGAATCCCATGGACAGAGGAGCCTGATAGGCTACAGTCCATGGGGTCGCAAAGAGTCGGACATGACTGAGCTACTAACACTGCCCTCAAGAAACTTAAAAACAATAATAGCTAATACTATACCACTTATTATGTGCCAGGCATTGTTCTAAGCACTGTGCCTGTACTAAGTGATTTAGTCCACATAACATCACTTTGAAGCAGGGTTTATAATTATCTTCATTTTAGAGATAAGGAAACTGAGGCAGAGATAGGTACTAAGGACCTAGTGCAACTGAGATTTGACCTCAATCAGCCTGGCCCCAGTCTTCATTCTGTTAATCAATAAACTCTGCTGTCTCTAATAGACAAAATAAGATACATGAAAAGTCATGATTATGAAAGAGAAAGTATTGTAGGATTTCAGATATGACGAGCCTTTAAGGGAGAAAGGCTAAGTGAAATTCATAAATTCCGAGGCATTTTTGCCTCTAGTTTTTTGTTTCCCTTATCCATCCTAATGTCACAGTCATTTCCTAAAATCTGTAATGATTTCCTTCATTTATTGTTAATGTCTAGATTTCTTCTTTAAAGATACAAGACTCTCTAATATGCTAAATTTCTTATTATTTTTCTTGTCGTCTCTCTCATTACTCTTCTACTTAAACTCTGCTCCCCCCAAACAAATTAATTATTTTTCAAATATCTTAAAAATTTTCTTTTTTATTTCTTCCAACTATTAATGTCAATGAGTGTCTGATTGGACTGCCTTCTACAAATCCATTTATCCAATCCCCTCTCCATTGTTTGACTCCTATGTAAAGACCCAGACTATGTCTTTTTTGGGTAAAATCTTAACAGACTTTCTAGTCTGAAATGATCTGAATGTCCTCTGTCTAAGTATTCATATCATCTAGTACTGAATCATTTATACCATTTGTAGACTTACTCTCACCACCATTATTTTCCTCAGCTATCACTCAGCAGCAGGGAGAATCCATAAGGTGCTCTGGATTGTGATGAAATCTGAGAATAGTCTCGGTTATAAATTATTTCTACTGAGACTTAAGTAAAACATTTGAACTGTACTCCATGACCCTTAGTTGCTGACTATCTACAGAATTTCTCTTAATCTTAAATCATAATTAGAGTTTTTTCTTTCTGTTTGTTGGTCCACTGGTTGGAATGTTGAACATGAATTTCAGCTACTTTTCATGAATGGAAGACAGTGAGATAGTCAGCTATTGAAATGGGTGCTAGTGACTCTATTTTGGTAATTTACTTTGGCTCCATTCAGAATCCTTTCTTCTTGTACCTGGAACAGTACTCCACTCACATTTCTCTGGTGGTGTCTGTTACTACTGGTAATGATAATGAAAGTAAATAACATTTTTTGAAGGATTACTAAGTGTCTGATACTGTTTTATATATTTAATATTTTTATAATTGCCACTACAATATTTTGAGTAAACTATTATTATTATTCTCATTGTATAGATGAAAAAATTGCAGCATAAAGTATATAACTTACCCACATTTTCATAGTGAGCCTGCATTTAAACTCAGGTTGTGTGAGTCAAGAGTCCAAGTTCTTAACTCTGTGCTTTATTCACTCTTCTCAAAGCAGCATTGCCAGTGGTTGCCAAGCTTACTATGTTGCAAGCCCTGAAGCACTAGCCAAATCCTCAACCCATCAAACTGAGCACATGGAGCAGGAGTAGCTCTGTATTCAATTTGACCTCCTCTCTCTAACCATTTCCTTAAAAACTTGGTGGTTTGTAGAGATGAGTTTTACACCAGATTTATTTTATACCTTTACAATTGACATTCCTTGGGTTCCTTAATTTGATGAACTCAGATAATGCTTTGTGTGTGTTTGGTTGGCACTTTGAATCCAGGATAGTTCTACTTTTTCTTTGAATCATGTCCAGTCAATGTATACTTCTTTAACCTTTGATCTAACAACCCAATGGTCTAGGTAAAAAATCTACTCTTAGCTTAGTTCTAAAGGAATGATTTTAATAAAAGGTGCAGCTTTCACAGTTAGGTATAAAACTCTTGGAAAAAATATAATCCAAATAACTCTGAGCCACCTTGCTTCTTGCCACTGCCTGTCTCAACTCCCAATAATAAAACAAAATGAATAAGCTATTCCCTGTTCATATCCCAAAACATCAAATAATAATGTGGATGTTTGTCGTTGGTTTTCTGACAATTGGCCCAGGGGTTTTGCTGATGCACTGAATAGAAAACATGCTCATCCTTTTCTCTTGCTCTTTCAGGCTGCTGAAGCCCATGCCCAGGGACTCTTTTAATGACATGCAGCCTCCTGGGAGTGCTATTCAGAATGATGCTCCACATTCTGAATGTGTCCTCTCCAAGGGAAAAACTCTTGGAATTTTCATAAATAAAATTATCCACCACGTTTTACTGAGATAGGGCAAGCCTGGGTGCTATGGGACTTAAACTTGTGCCATAGAGCTCACAAGAGGTGTCCAAGGGAAGTAACATTGCACCTTAGAGTTGCAGGAGGAGGAAGAAGAGGAGGCAGGGGCCTATGGGAGAAGGAATGTATTATTTGGAAAAACCCTGTCTTCACTCAAAATCCTGGTATGTAAACCTCAGAGAAAAGAATCTAGTTTAGACCCTTTAGTGAAAGACATTTTCTTATGGAAATTCATCATAGAAATGCTTTCTATTTTTATTTGTTTTATTTTTTAACAGTCTTGGGGGAAGAAATTGTAGAAATACTAAGGCAAGGGTCTGCTTCTAGGCTGAATTATATGCCTATGTGAATATGTATGCATATCATTATGTACTACTTATTAATAAAATGATTTGACTCTTACTGTTCTCTATCACCTTAGTTGGATGTTGTCTTGTTAGTACTTTTCAGCTCATTAATCTTTCTGAGCTGATTATCCAGTTGGTGAGGTCCAGAGTTTTTTTTTTTACTTTCTTCTTTCTGCTACTAACTTTGGGTTCCTCAATCATTCATTAGGGCTCCTACCAGAGGAAAAAGAAATGAATGTTTTATTTTTTAGATAGCTGTTTTATTAAATATTTTTTCATGAGAAAGGTGGTGAAAATTATTGGATTACTGGATAATATGTGGCTTTTCAAGTTTCTGGGTTTCATTAGTGATTCCTCTTTGTTACCAGGAGGTTATTCATTATTCTGTATCTTATTGTTATATTATTTTAAAATGTCATTTGAAGTTGTTACTTTTCATATTTCTCTGAGGATTCAGGAGTGCCAGAGAGAACTTTTTAACCATTTACTTTTTCTTTCTGAATTCATGGATTTTGGTCCTCCCATTTCCTTGGAATTTTGATTCAGAAAGTGGACAGATAAGACCCTGGGTTCTTTAATAAAGGCATTAGTGTTACAAATTATTCTCCTTTCTTTCAGTTACTTCAAGTTTTTTGTGTTAGTATTGAAATTGAGATACTGTGGTGTTCTAGAGGGATTTCACATTATTCAGCTGTGCCAGGTGGCAGGTTAGGAGACTGGGGACACAGTTCTTAAACACTCGCTGAAGAATAGGTTTCTTTTCTACAGAGGGGGTGCCATTAGCCTAGTACCAAGCAAAGCAAGTCCTGGTCATTTTCTTTTTTCTTTGTGAGTGATTCTGGCATTCTGACACTTAAATATGGATTAATAGTGTAGAATGTAGCCTTTGGTCGGTGGTAGTGAACATACACAGCAAAATTAGATAGAGAACCATCTCATGTTTATTTTCAGTGTTTAAGAAACAATGACAGAATGAGAAGCCAAAGCTGCCCATATTATAACTCACATATTACTCAGAATGTTATGTCAAATTAAGATGTTATATTGATAAAAGAAGCTCATTTGTCTTTCTTCCATTTTGTTTGTTCTTTTCTTAACTTCAGGTCAGGAAAACAAAAATTACCATGATGTGAGTGATCTGATAGTGAATCTAATCAAATGGCTCCAGAGTATTAAAATAGAAATATATTCTTATTCAGAAGAGAGGGTGGTGATGGAGGTAGACTTTTATGGAAATAACTAGAACCCCAGGGAAGAGAATGTAAAAGTGCTCAGTCAAGAGTCAGAACATTTTCTTGGTGTATTTACATTCATATGAAACTTTAATTTCTCTGAACCTAGGCATGTAAAACTTGATAGACCAAGACATATTATAAACAAATTCCCTTATTAATTGGCATTCTCCAGTATTTTTCTTGATCACATGAAATAAATTGGTGATAGATATGTGTTCAGTTCAGTACAGTTCAGTCACTCAGTCATGTCTGACTCTTTGCGACCCCATGAATCGCAACACGCCAAGCCTCCCTGTCCATCACAAACTCCAAGAGTTTACTCAAACTTGTCCATCAAGTCGGTGATGCCATCCAACCATCTCATCCTCTGTCATCCCCTTCTCCTCCTGCCCCCAGTCCTTCCCAGCATCATCAGGGTCTTTTCCAATGAGTCAACTCTTCTCATGAGGTGGCCAAAGTCTTGGAGTTTCAGCTTCAGCATCAGTCCTTCCAATGAACACCCAGGACTGATCTCCTTAGGATGGACTGGTTGGATCTCCTTGCAGTCCAAGGGACTCTCAAGAGTCTTCTCCAACACCACAGTTCAAAAGCATCAATTCTTCGGTGCTCAGCTTTCTTTGCAGTCCAATTCTCATCTCCATACATGACCACTGGAAAAACCATAGCCTTGACTAGACAGCCCTTTGTTGGCAAAGTAATGTCTCTGCTTTTTAATATGCTATCTAGGTTGGTTATAACTTTCCTTCCAAGGAGTAAGTGTCTTTTAGTTTCATGGCTGCAATCACCATCTGCAGTGATTTTGGAGCCCCCAAAAATAAAGTCATACATATATATATATACAAATATAGAAATAGAAACATGTATGTCATATTAGTTTTTCTTACATTTAGTAATAAAATAAAATTTTAGAGTTAATTTAACTAAAATATTAGTTTCTTGAACGAAAATAACCTTTAATCCCTTTTAAATAATAAAAACAGTATTGTATAATTAGCCCTTGAACATCTCAGAACATAGAAGAAAGTTTATTCCTTTCAGTCTACTTTATTTGAATCTTATTCCCTTTAAGAAAATTTGTCATTCACTGATGACATGCTGTCTTTTTGGGACCATGTTTCTCCTGAAAAAATAAACAATAGACTTTCTACTAAAAAATACCTTTATGAGTTCCTACAGCATTTAAAAAAAATTCCAAAGATATCAAATATCCACAGAAGATTGAAAATGGAGTCTTAGAATTTCCCATTGGGAAATGCAGTTCTTCAGAAAAATATTTTTCTTAATATATTTTTTCTATCTTAAAATCTAGTCTTTTCTTTCTCTGAGGATTAAGTGAATTGGTTTATGTTAAAATGAGACTTGAACCATTACCAAGTCTCAAGAAAACTTTCCCCTTGAAGCTTGAAAGGAGTTTCCGTTACACTAAGGAAATCAGTCTCTCTCTCTCTCTTTCCCGACGCTGGTGGGGTAGTAACATGTTTTCTCATTTGGGTCATAACAGTCAACTTAGGAATTGTGAACAAATATAGATGTGTACACACTCACACACACACACACACACACACACACACACACACACGTGCGCTCACTTAAGTTTACCACGGCGCTGTGCACTACTGCCTGCTGTCCACTGAGCTGAGTGTGCTGAAGGACCCTGCCTTTGGAACTGGCAGGGCAGCACTTGTTGAGATTGCGTTACTTCTATAGAATAGAGCATGTGCTCTAGGAATATCATGGACATAATTACATATGAACATGTTTTGAAAGGGGTGGTCATAATCATGGGATTAATCTAAATTTTGTTGGTTCACAGAGATCACAAATTAAGTTACAGTGACTTTTTAATCTGTGGAATCATCATTAATATAAAAATAAATGCAGCTTCCTAGAAAATCTGTATTTTTAGAATACCTAAGTTTTGAGAAATTAGCTCTGTTTTACAGTTCCTTCAATGTAAAGTAACTCAGTTTTTATGAGCTGTTGGGAAACCATCCTGTTAGCTACTGAGAGCTGGCATCAGTTAAATCTTTAAAGATAGGAATTCTGTGTTGTATTTTTTTAACATAAAGATTACCCTTCATTTTGCATATTTACTTGATAACTCTAACCATCTGTAGTCACTTCAAATGTGTGAGGCCATTTCTACTTTTTCTTTATTGGTTTGTTGCTAGGTAAGTGATATTGTTGGTTGCCATTTTTAACAGCCACATGGGGTCATGTCTGTTTCCATGCCAACAGATCCTCTTGGGAGAGTATTTTCAATAAAAGCCCGGAAGTGGTGACTCCTTTGCAGCTTCAGTGTTGCCAGCGCCTGGTTGAGCTTTGTAAACAGTGCCTGCTAGTGGTTTACAAATATGCAAGTGACTCAAGAGGATCACTCTCAGGCATTGGTACTGATTGGGGTAATTCCAGGTACTTGTTTTACATTTCCTAGATCCTGTGTGTTTTATATAAAGTAATGCTGCAACACACTTTGAAAGTGAAAGTCTCTTTTTGTCTAGATGGCTAGAGAAAAGCTGAAGACTAAAAATTTATACTTGCTACTATCTACAAGATTCTTTTAACTTGAACAATCGGTAAAGATTGTTTTTAAATCTTTAAAAGACTGAACAGGAACAGCAATCACAAACCTGAAGGTGACAAAGATAACCTACATGGAAATGATATTATTTAACTTAACATGCTTTTCTTTCAAAAGCCAAGTAACAGCATGCAAAATGATAATAAATTTAATTTTTTCCCTCAGCAGGGATATTTTGTCTTTTTCCTCTATCCTAATATAGTTGAGAAGATGCCTTTAGTTTCATTTTTAATGTTCAATATGCCTCTACTATCCCCTTTATCAGCAAATAGATCTGTGGGAGGTGGATTTTGTTAAGATTCATTTAAAAATTGGACTTTTATAAATATTGTCCAGTTAAAATAGGTAGTTTTATAAAAATATGAAAATATTGTTTTTAAACTGCAAAGATACACAGAGTAAACACGAAGTACATTTCAGCACTTCTCAAGACAATCGTAGTTCCCATTAGAATTAAAGACAAAAGTCTTGGCTTAGATGGTAAAGAATCCGCCTGCAGTGCAGGAGACCCAGGTTTGATCCTTGGGTAGGGAAGATTCCCTGGAGAAGGGCATGGCAACCCACTCCAGCATTCTTGCCTGGAGAATTCCATGGAGAGAGGAGCCTGGCGGGCTACAGTGCATGAGGTCTCAAGGAGTTGGACATGACTGAGAGACTAACACTTTCACTTTCATGTGACTTTTATTATGTGTAAGTTTTTGTAGTATTATCAAGAGAGAAGAGTATAAACCATGATTTTGAAAAACTAAGTGATAGTCAAAAGATCATAGGATCTGGTAACAATTGAATGGCTTCCCTGGTGGCTCAGTGGCAACCATACCACCTACCAATGCAGGAGTGCGCTAAGTCATTTCAGTCATGTCCAACTCTTTGCCACCCTTTGGACTGTAGCCCACCAGGCTCCCCTGTCTATGGGGATTCTCCAGGCAAGAATACTGGAGTAGGTTGCCGTGCCCTCCTCCAGAGGATCTTCCCAACCCAGGGATCGAACTTAAGTCTCTTTTGACTCCTGCTTTGGCAGGCAGGTTCTTTATTGCTAGTGCCACCTGGGAAGGGACCGTCAGCTCAATCCCTTGGTCGGAAAGATCTCTGGAGAAGGACATGGCAACCCACTCCAGTGTTCTTGCCTAGGAAATCCCATGGAAGGAGGAGCCTGGTGGGCTTCAGTCCATGGGGTCACAAAAAAGTCAAACATGACTTAGTTACTAAACAACAAACAGCAGTAATTGAATAGATGGTGAGGAAAATGAACTACCATAGCTTGGGTTTTCTTTTTGAAACATCTAGAAATTGATCTGTTTATTAAAAAGATCATGGAGATATAGCTAACTTTCTACAGAATTCACCTGGAACAGCAGAATGGCTTGGAATGCTTTCACAAAAATATTGAGAGATATATGTTTAACCTTTGTTTGTCTTGTACCTGTCATTACACTATTGAGGTATGATGCAGTATCTTTAACTCTCTCCCTGCAAACAGAAACTGATTGAATTTTAAAAATGGTGGAGGTAAAGTTAGACATTAATATTTAAAATATGTAAATACCAAAGCTGTATTTTGTAGTTTGACAAATGGTTTGATAGAAGCAAATTATTGAACAAAGCTCATATTACTTTTATTAATATTCTCATATGATTTAAAAAAATGATGGCCATCTTTAAGACATTACAACATATAAATGAAGGGCATTCTCTTTAAGAATGATACTCTTGGATCATGATCAGGAAAACCTTTAATTCCATTCTAAGAGGGATGGTTTCAAACTCTTTAATATCATTCTTAAAAGTCCAGATTTCATAACCTATTTTCTGTTGAAGGATCATGTAACTTCTATGGATAAGCAAAATAAGATGAGTTTTCTGGCTATACTGGAGGAGGAAATTACACCTTACAGTTGCTTCAGTTTTTAAAATTTTTCTCCCCTTCTTGTGGTTGGAAGAAATATTTCTCCCCTTGTGATCTTGAGTTATGGACCCTGATAAATGTTCAACATGACCCCAGTATAGTGATTATAAGCTTCTTAGGGGAGAGAGGTCAGTAAACACATCCTTCATTCCTTGCCCAGTTCAGAACCTTTTGAGAGAGAAACATAGGAGTCATACAGATGATCATCAAATTGTAGCTTCATTACTGAAAAAAGCTATTGAGAGACATGATATAGATGAGAGTCAGGTGTTTTCTAATGTTGAATTCTAGAATTAAGTGTATCCATCCTGTCAAAGACACAACTCTATCAACCCAAACCTCCTACTAGCACTATCCATGAAGTCTTACTCTATTAGTGTTGGGAGGAGAGCAAGTACAAGTACATTCTTTTTGCAGATAGGCTGATCCAACAAGAGAAAGGGGCTGAGCCAAGCCTGACTGATTCCTTCTTTTAAACCTGCAAATCAAATAATTTACTTCTGGTTAGAGGCCAGAAAATTTATACTGGTCAAAGTTTTACTTGGAAACACAGAGAAAAATGAACATGTCCTTCCAGGTGGCGCTAGTGATAAGGAATCCTCATTATCAGAGAAATGCAAATCAAAACCACAATGAGGTACCATTACACGCCAGTCAGGATGGCTGCTATCCAAAAGTCTACAAGCAGTAAATGCTGGAGAGGGTGTGGAGAAAAGGGAACCCTCTTACACTGTTGGTGGGAATGCAAACTAGTACAGCCACTATGAAGAACAGTGTAGAGATTCCTTAAAAAGCTGGAAATAGAACTGCCATGTGACCCCGCAATCCCACTTCTGGGCATTCACACCGAGGAAATCAGATCTGAAAGAGACACGTGCACCCCACTGTTCATCGCAGCACTGTTTATAATAGCCAGGACATGGAAGCAACCTAGATGCCCATCAGCAGACAAATCTATAAGGAAGCTGTGGTACATATACACCATGGAATATTACTCAGCCATTAAAAAGAATTCATTTGAATCAGTTCTAATGAGATGGATGAAACTGGAGCCCATTATACAGAGTGAAGTAAGCCAGAAAGATAAAGACCAATACAGTATACTAACACATATATATGGAATTTAGAAAGATGGTAATGATAACCCTATATGCAAAACAGAAAAAGAGACACAGATGTACAGAACAGACTTTTGGACTCTGTGGGAGAAGGCGAGGGTGGGATGTTACGGGAGAAAGCATCGAAACATGTATATTATCAAGGGTGAAACAGATCACCAGCCCAGGCTGCATGCATGAGACAAGTGCTCGGGCCTGGTGCACTGGGAAGACCCAGAGGGATGGGGTGGGGAGGGAGGTGGGAGGGGGGACCGGGATGGGGAATACATGTAAATCCATGTCAATGTATGGCAAAAACCACTACAATATTGTAAAGTAATTAGCCTCCAACTAATAAAAATAAATGGAAAAAAAATTAAAAAAAATAAAGTATCGTAAAAGCTGTTAAAAAAAAGAATAAAAGAAATACACCTGCCAATGCAGGAGATGCAAGAGATGCAGATTCAGTCTCTGGGTCAGGAAGATCCCCTGGAGGAGGGCATGGAAACCTGCTCCAGTATTCTTGCCTAGAGAATTCCATGGATAGAAGAACCTGGTGGGCCCCAGTCCATAGGGTCACCAAGAGTTGGACATGACTGAGTGACTGAGCACATCTAATATCAAGCTATCAAAGTCCAAGTTAATGTCACATTAATTTAAAAAAATGGGAAAAGTGGCTGCACATTCTTTCCCGTGTATATTAGGACCCTATAGCATTTTACTTTATATGTAGGAGTCAATTAATTTGATATTTATTAATAGATTAACGGAATTCCAGTAAACTCTTCAAAACTCTAAAGGATGATGCCATCAGGGTGTTGCATTCAATATATCAGTAAATCTGGAAGACCCAGCAGTGGCCACAGGACTGGACAAGGACAGTCCTCATCCCAGTTCCCGAGAAGGTACACTAAAGGATGCTGTAACCATCAGACAGTTGTTGTCATCTCCCATGCTAGTGAGGTCATGCTTCAAATCTTGCATGCTAGGCTTCAGCATTACATGAACCAAGAACTTCCAGACATCCAAGCTGGGTGTAGAAAAGGCAGAGGAACCAGAGCTCAAATTGCCAACATTTGCTGGTTCATAGAGAAAGCTAGGAAATTCCAAAATATCTACCTCTGTTTCATAGACTATACCAATATTAAAAAAAGCTAAGGTGATGGCATCCAGCCCCATTACTTCATGGCAAATACAGGGGGAAAAGGTAGAAGCAGTGATCAGTTTCCTCTCCTTGGGCTCTAAAACCATTGTGGATGGTGACTGCAGCCATGAAATCAGAAGATGTTTGATTTTTGGCAGGAGAGTTACAACAAACCTAGAAAGTGTGTTGAAAAGCAGAGACATTACTCTGCCAACAAATGTCCGTATAGTCAAAGCTATGGTCTTTCCAGTGGTCATGTACGGTTGTGAGAGCTGGACTGTAAAGAAGGCAGAGTGCTGAAGGATTGATGCCTTCGTCTGTGGTGCTGGAGAAGATTCCTGAGGGTCCCGTAGACAGCAAGAAGATCAAACCAATCATCTTAAGGGAAATCAACCGTGAATACCCGTGGGAAGGACTGATGCTGACGTTGAAACTCCAGTGTTTTGGTCATCTGATGCGAACAGCTGACTCATTGGAAAAGTCCCTGATGCTGGGAAAGATTGAGGGCAGAAGGAGAAGAGGGTGTCAGAGAATGAGATGGCTGGATGGTATCACTGATGCAAGGGACATGAACTTGGGCAAACTTTGGGAGATGGTGAGGGACAGAGAGGCCTGATGTGCTACAGTCTATGAGGTCACAAAGAGTCAGACGTGATTGGGCAACTGAATGACAATAACAACAAT